ATACTCCGTTTTCTCATCACAGTAAAATTTCATTTACCGCCATTGTCACTCTTTCTATTACTTTGCTTTTGGTATTTTGATAAAATTTAATAAGTTTGATAAATTTTATTTGGTCAATACCATGTTTTACAATGCCAACATTCACAGCCTTTATTTAAAAATTTCTTAATGCAAAGTATGCATCTTCAAACCTCGATATCTTTGTAAAAAAAAAGTCGTCGATTTTTTTTAATCTTCTCTTACTCCTGGTAATATCTACTACGCTACGAACTCAGAATGCCTTAATTTTGAGACACCCTGTAGTGATTGTAAAAAAAAATTACAGTAGACATTGGAGATTTAAGATAACTTTAAACATTTTTTTAATACTCCGTTTTCTCATCACACTAAAATTTCTTTTACCGCCTTTGTCACTCTTTCTAATACTTTGCTTTTGGTATTTTGATAAAATTTAATAAGTTTGATAAATTTTATTTGGTCAATTTTGGTCATGTTTTACAATGCCAACATTCACAGCCTTTATTTAAAAATTTCTCCTGCAAGTTCAGACATCTCCACAGCACCAGCAAAGTCTGGCGCGAAATCGTCCTTTTATCCCCACATTTAAATTTAGATTGGCCGGGCCTGATTTGCGGCTGAAGCCGTAGAGGTCGCTGTATTAGTGCTGAAACAGAAAGCGACTAGCGGCCCAATCCTGGACTAAGCCAGGGTGATTTGTCGCATAATTTGAACGTTGGCTTTGTAATGCCCAAACTGAACACCACTAAATTGCAACAATCTCCAAAAGCTTTGAATAATGCAAGAGGCGACAGGACGACCGATGGTGAAGACACCCCGCGATATCGATACTTTCATTTTGTGCGGTTTTATTACGAGGACTGTATGTGTTTACTGGCATCCAACGGATGGAAACTAATATATTTGGAGGATAAGGCAGGATTCGACGAGCGGTTACGCTCGCTGCGGTGGCGATGCACTCAAGTGCTACGAAAATTGCGCGAGCATAGAGGATTTCAAAAGCTTAGGAAAATTTTTGAATTAAATAAATGAATGCAGCAAAAAGTTCATTTGCAAAGCAAATTTTCACGCTTTTCTGCACTCAAAATCGCCATAACAATCGCAAAAATGATCACTTAAAGTATCCACTTTTATACACTTCCATGATACAAAAATTATGCAGTTTAAAATGCCTAATTAAAAAAGGGGTATTATTTAAAAGACTTACATCACAATAATAAGAAAAATTTAAGTGTCTCCTTTATGATTATAGTAAATTACTGAAAGCCTGAAATTATTTTATTACATGATTGCAGCATGCAAATTTTATCCCGGCGCATCCACCATTTTAAACCCTTAAAATATGTTCATTATTTTTATAAACTCGAATTAAAAATAATTAAAATGTTGCATAAATTTAAAAATTACCAAGTTACAATATACTTACCATATCGTCAGAGTCGGGGACAAGGGCGGGAGGTAAACGACAGGCCCAAACCTCCAAATTCACCTAAAAAAACAGAATTAATTCAGCGATAAATATATATATAACTAAATCTAAACATGTACCCTGATTCCCTTATCAATAACCGTCAAAATCAAGTCCCTTATCATTAATGATCTAAAGTGTCGACGAAAATTGTATCGACAGAAAATGTCATTCCTAATAAAATATTTCCGCATCCTTTCACGATATTTCGGCCCCTTTTAGTTTTTCGTACTCGTGACATTATCTGACAAGCTTCAAATAAAACTATACAAAGGTGTTTTAAACACTTTCTGTACGTTTCAAAATTCCGCGTGAAAAGCTACATTTTTCGCAAACTTTTCCATACGTTTATTTAACCATGCGTATTCTGACAGAAAATGTAACTATTGTGATGTAGATTGTTGAATATTGCAAACAATCCGATATTCGCATTATTTCTTTTTGTTCTGAGTTTTAATTTTGAATGAGAGTGCGATACAATGCATGCAAAACTTTCTCATTAGAGTCGATTGAGCTTGTTAGTAGTATTTTTTCAAGACCATTTTCATAAATATTTTACGTTTCTATCACATCTAACAGCGGCGATTTCTCCGAAGAAATCTTGTCTACACTTTCTCCATTGCGGTAGGATTTAACTAAATAAGATGACAAGTAAGTGACGTAAAATCCAACAGCCGGCTAGTCCAGCAAATGAAAGATTTCAAAATTGCACTGGCAGATACTCTTAACTGTAGTGCGTCCACATTAACCAATTTACTCTGAATTTGATTATTTTTTATTAATGATTTAAAATAATTCAATCTCTGTTTTTTTAAGTGTTTATTTAAATTTAGAGTGTGTTGTGAACGGACCACAATTTTTAACACGCCAAGCGAGGTGTCAAATGTCAAATAACTTTCAATACGAATGTTTGTTCACAATAAAATTTTCATAGATGCCAAATTATAAAAAAACATCCGTTATTTATAAATGGCAGACGCAGAATATGTAGAATTTTTAAGCTGTTAAAATATCTATTTTCTTTGTCTGAATTGCTGGTAGAAAACATTCTTCTGAAGTGGTTTTGTTACTTTTGCGTTACGAAAACAAGAGGGAAAAAATGAGCTAATTTTGGGTTTGTTTTTTTTTCTGTAAAAAGCGTTGTAAAACTGGGTCACAAAAATTTTGTGTAAAAGTCTTTGTTTGCATTTTCCATGTTCCGTGATTCGTTTGCAAGTTATTTGTTAACTGTCAGTCTCAACAAGGTTAGCGTTTTAGTGAGCATTTCGTCGTGCTCGTCGATTTTCCAGAAGAAAGCTCTCTACGTACATAATCCTCGCAATTTTCTCGATGCAAATCGGAATTAAATTTCATCCAACATGCATAGATTCATGAGAGAAATATTCGGGTTGCGTCCCAAAACTAGAAACAAATTTGTTATTGAAATCCAGGCGAACATAGTCCGCTGTTGTCTGAAGGTGGGAGCGTCAGTTGCAGTCCTCCGATAATGAGCGAGATCAGCCCAAGAGCGGCCGTAAGAAGGGCGGCGGCGGCGGCGGCCTATTGATCCACCCTCCAGCCGCCCCTCGCCCATCGAACAGCTGTTTGACTACCCCATCACTTTATTAACTATTTACTCTGCTTACTCTACAGTCTAACAGCACCTCCACAACGCCGATACATAATCTCGTAACTCATCCCGCCCATCTGCCCCATTTACTCTTTACCAGCCTAATTACTTCCATAGCCGACTCGCCATCGCGCAAATTAGAACACGTAATTATGTTTCATAAGACCCAGCTGAAATTTAAAGTAAATACCGCCGGAGACAATTTCTTCGCTGATGCCGGATGGAAGACTTGTTTAAATTACCAACAATGATTTTTAAACACACTTAATTAAGCAGGGAGCGAAAACTCCGCACGGACGCGGAAAAAACCCAGATAAATGAAAGAATTCTTTTTCGCTTTTTGACTAAATTCGAATCAATTCGACGCAGAATGATTAAATTTAACGTCAACTAGTTTTCAAGGTGGACGTTCGAAAGTCGAATTAAAAAACATGGAAGGTCAGCAGAAGGAATGTGATAAAGCGCCTGTCACACGGGTGATTCTTCGGCCAATTTAAAAGCAAACCGTTAGCGAAAATGTTTAACTTTGAGATAAATTCACTTCTCAAAACATTCAGCTTAAATCATTTGTCAGGAAAATCCCATTTTATCCCAAAGTTTTTTCAAAGTCTAAACATTTGTTCTAGTTTCTTTAGTTTCCCTGCCTAAAACATTCATGGTAATTAACCAAAACACTTTCAGAAAAATAACAAAAACAGTTTGAGGCTTTAGTATTGATTTTTTGTTTATAAAAAAAAATTATTCAAATTTTTAATATTCTTATTCACAAACTGTATGTTTTTATTTATCAAAATTAAATATTAATATAACCATCACTCTCAAATTTCAGAGACACAAACTTATGTTAGACAGTTGAACAGACAACAGACTAAAATATTATCCAAGAATGTATACGGAAATCCACCCTATTTTTTATAACTGTCTATCCCTGATCCACTTACATGCAAAAAAAATTCAACATTGTAATTTAGATTATAAATCGGGTAAGCCAAATATTACATTACGAATGAGATGAATGATGAGTATCGAAATGAGTACTACCGAATGTATATCGCAATGTACAACATACCCCACAACAATTATTATCGTATAACTTTGTTTCTTAAGTATACTATAGCAAATCGAGTAGCAAATGGTCTACAAACATTTCACATAAATAAACTAAATTTAAACTTTAAGAAGATTTCAACTCTAGTTTGGAATGATTATTGATTTTTGCACTGCTTGTGTTAATTTTTGTAGAGAACCATCTCGTTTACCACAATACTTTAGAGCGAATCAATCAATGTTTCATTCTCGGAAAGACAACACAAAAAAATTAAGTTAAAGTTCAAATTTTACATGTAGAAGCATACGTTATACGATAATTGTTGTGAGATGCATATTTTATGTCATTCTGTTTCAAAAAAAAATTCCAAAAAATTGATTTTACATTTCATTGCAAAAATCACAATCCGACAAGTGTATAGTTGCAGAATTAAAATTTTGGCAGTTTTGTCATTTTCATAATGTAAACTCTAAAACAACCTTTACATTAATAACCCCATTTTTTACTCTTGTCATGTTTATGTCATTTTGACTAAAGGTAGTTGACAGTGAAATTTTTAAAGTGACAGAAAAATACTGCCCGAAATTTTAATTCCGCAACTGTACTCACCGGCTCTGATACAGTAAATACTCACTTCCCGGACTCAAAATGGTGTAGGGCAGCTTAATTTAACGCACAGTATAAATAAATAAAAAATACAACTTTATTTTAATTCATATAACAAAAAAAAACAAAGATTCGAGAAAATGCATTCATAGGAAACATTTATTTATTACAAAAAAAAAAACAAACCTACAAAGTGATTCAGAAAAGCTGTGTCTGTTGGTAAAAGATTTGAAAGTATTTTTGTTAATAATTTAAACCACTGCAAGCTGATATGATTTTGCTTGACAAATACTTGTACAACCCCTCAAGATTGTTGAATTGTTGTTAATCAAAAGCGTACTCGCGTACTCCAATGGTAACCCTTAAAAATTAGCGTCAGGACTGCCAACAGATTCATTCATTGTGGATTACTTTGTAGATTTGAAACTAGACAAGTTCTTTTGAAGTACTAATTAGTTTCACTTAATAAATATTTGCATTTTCTTCTTGCGGGTAGTTTTGAGGTTTATAACAAAAGCTAACTTAGGTTTTGAATCTTGATGTTAAGTACAAATTATTAGAAATGCATTACAACATCTAGAAATACAATACAACTTTGCCAGAAGTTCAGAAAATTTATATTTTCATATTTCAAATATAATACGATTCCTGGGACACAATATACGAGTATGAGAAGATTTAACTTCACGTATACCAAAAGATAAAATAATATAGCAAAATAAAATAAAACAAAAATTTTAAATAAGAAGTTTCTGATACAAAAAATATAATATATGCAAACATCAAAAATCTTCTTTTAAAAATGCGTAAAATTAAACAAAGTCTAAGGATAAAATAAACATTTTTGAAGTTTTATTCGTATCTAAACTTACTACACAAAACAATAACGTCAAGTGTGATTTATTTGCTGAGATTTTGTCGTGTTCGGTTTATCCACCCGAGATTTCCAAGTTCGATTTATTCGGTTTAGATACATGTTATCTACAGAAACTTAATGATATTTTAATTTTTCTCTGCAGCCATTACCAACTATCTAAAAACGAGAACTTTCTTTGATATTATCACAATAATTAAATGATGTCTACTAAGTAAACTTAAACAATGAACAATGTTCCATTATGTAGTGCTTGATAAATGAAGATATTGAATTGAGATTGCTTATTTTGCTTTAGAGGACGTTAATTGCTACAACAATATCAACATAATTGGTTTGGTCTATCACTAGTAGAAACTGTTAGTTTGACGAGCATCAGATTGAATTCAGAAACGGGTAAAAAGTTTCTCATATCTACGCGTATTTAATGTAATTTTCTAATGTTAATGCTTGTGATAGAATAACGTAATAATTAAAAAAAAAAGCAAAAAAGTAAAATTTGTATACTTGGTGAAAAAATGGCGAGATGGCGAATAGGGTGAATTCACTTCAGCAATGAAACTGTTATAAAGCTATAACGTCTTCAACCACTCCGTATAACAATTTAAATCCATCAATCATTTTAATTTGTTTGTTGGTGTGTTATTGAGTGCTGACGTCGAAAAACCTCGTCATAAATCTTAAATGAGCGTCAACATAAATTCGAAAAGTTTTAATTGGCCCACCTATAATGAATTATGAAGGTTTTTTTCGTTTGATAAAACAAGACAATGTTAGTCTTATTGGAAATTCCGGCCCCCACTTCGTGTTAAAATTTTATCCAGCCCTCAGGTTTCAATCTATCTTTCTAGAAAAGTAATGGCACACGATGTATTTGTCTAGCCTTCCGGGCAAGTCAGTAAAACACAAGTTTAATCTTGATCTTGGCCTTATAAATCATGAAATAATTTTCTTATTTAATCATTCCTCCACAGCCCAACAATTTAAAATCGCATACTGATGGATGGGACCGATCCATCACAACAAATTTAATAATTCCGTATCATCGAAACAAAGCGGCCCTGTAAAAGTGTTGTTTTATCGGCGTTCGGCCGGTTTTAAATGGGACTTTTGTGAATTTGAGCAGCATTTAAAGTTTAAGCTCATGCATGAGACATTCATTGCTAATATAACATACGGACCTGTTTTAACAATAGATCTTCAATTTGGAAACGCCGCAAACTTTAGGTAATTAGCAGAACTAAAATCAAACTTTGCATTTTGATAAATCTGGCCCTTTCTGCAGCAGGAGCAAATCAACGCCCCGACCAAGAGCCACGCATTTACCACTCTCGCAGATTTATTGCAGGAATAAACTACGTGACCCTACTTAAAATAGCTTATATCCAATTTATATAATGTGCCAACACTTGTATAGAGATTAAAAGACCTTGAAGGATAAATAATCCTTTTAACTTTAATAATAACGAAATGTAACTATTACCTTATTGTTAACATCGCTCCCCATCATGCCACTTGAAACAATCCGCGCTAAAACGAGCTTTTTGCAAAAAATATCAAACTCGCTGGCATTCAATTTCTGATTGTTGGACGACCAGCTTTGTTGCAGCTCAGTCAAAAGACGGAGAGATTTATTGACGTAATTATACCGCAACGAAAATGAAAGATTCAACTTTCAAATAAAACTAGATAAAAGTTGTAATTGGAAATAGATCCAAAACTCATTTAGACCAGGATTAATTATTCTTTGAACGGTATTCGAATCAAATATTTCATTACCTGTCTGGACTTTATAATGGTTTGTGCAAATTTTATTCAAACGTCACTTCACAATTATTTTCTAATCCGTTATTCAACGAGAGAAGATATTAATACTGTTTTCGCAGGTGCAGCTGCCGTTTTTTCAATACATGTTAATCAGAGTGTGAAGCTGAAAAATTATTCAAACTTATATATCACAAAAACACAGCACTTTATTACATGATCGGCAGTTTACATAGCTAGCAGATTAATTTACACCTCTGTATAAAGACTTGAAATGATACAAGTTTAATATTTGAAACTTAGATATTGATGTAAAATACACGTGTTATTAGTGTAACATCTTACTCATTATGGGAAAAGATTTAAGGTGCGTGTATTAGAAGTCAATCTTTACAAAAATAATTGAAATACAAAGTAAGGTTTCAGTTAGTACATTTTAAAATTTTTCTCTACAAACGCCTTTAAACAAAAGATATTTTCCAGACTCAAGTCTGTGTATATAAAATCAACAAAAGTTATGTAGAATTTAAATATCAGTTCAACATATTTTATTACTTCATTTTTATAAATACCTAAAAAATAAAGCTTCAAAAATAAAAGAGTAATTACTGACATTTTCAAATAATAGTTATTTATTCGACGAGTTTGAGTGTAAATCAGACGCTTTATTTCACGAGTGGATTTTTAAACCACGACTGTCAACGAGTGGTTTATTATCTACGAGGTGGAATAAATGAACCGATTTACTCGAAGACGAGTTGAATACAACATTTTATTCTTCGAATTAGACTCAATAAGACTCAAAACAATCTGATGTTTCGTAATGAGAAATGCCAAACAGTTGTCAAAAGTTCGTTACACAGGAGAAAAACCGTAAATTTTGACAGTGTCGAAGAATAAAATTATTTCTTGTGGTCTTGTGGTCTCAAACAGATTACCTCTTTGGGGATAGTTGTGGCGAAAATACATCTTCCCCCCTGTGGTTCAAGGGATTAAAATTTTGACCAGTGGCGAAATTACATGTGGCCCTTCAATCCCTCCATTAAAAAACATTTTACAAACTTATCTGTCCGATTACTCTTATTTTTGAGTTACATAATAGTATATCAAAAAAACAAGTTTCATAAGACCAGTCTTGAGGCACGAATTCAAGTTTAAATCTTGAGGCAAGAATTCAAGTTTAAAAAACGAGTGGTGCAGCCACGAATTATTTAAAAAAATAAGTGCTTCAAGTCTTATAAAACGAGTTTTTTATATCATTTTTTGTAATTTGCTCTTTAATTTTAAATAATTAATTAGTCGCCAAAATGGGGGCGAATTACAAAAATAAATGATTTTAGAAAAATTTATAGACACAAAAATATATTACGGTGAAATTAAATTATATACAGACGATGCTATTCTTTAAAAAATTAGGTAACTTTCATACTTCCGTCAATTTTTTATTCAATCTTTAGAGCTGACTAAACAGATGTAATACATAAGAAATAATAAACAAAATAAACGTTTTCAAGCATTTTTTAATTGTAAACTGCCCCACCCTCAACTGCCAGTTTTTAAGATCTCACTTTAGTCTTTTTTTTAACCACAAGACATAATATTTTGATAACTACTTTTTAATAATTACAAAATTATAGACACTGTTTAATTATAGAAATAATTTTCTCTTTTAATTATCATATCACTTATAAGTAATTACAAGATTGGTTTTTAACTGTCTTGATTTCCAAAATTTCACAGTGATAACAAAATATTTTTGACTGATATTGAATACTGCATTTGTAAAAATATAAATTTAAAAGTTTTTTTTTAAGTATTGGTACTTACATAAGGTCTTAATAGGTCTTTTATTATTAAAAAAAGTTAAAAAAATTATTTACAACCCTTGTTAAACAACTTGACTTCCAGACTGTTTTGCTTTGTAATTCCATTGTCGTTTATAAGATGTTTAGTCCTTTGACTTCTAGAAAATTTAAAAATATTGACCACTACGAATATGTTATAAAAAATTGATGAACCAAAAATATCTGTTTACACATTTTCAAAAATTTTATCAAAATTATAAATTATTTTTTGGCCTCCTGACATGTAAATGTCAAATTAACGTACAATTGACACCTATTGAAAGACTGTATTTACAGTCGCCTGAGCATTTTACGCACAGACGAGTGTAAAGTGACAGTTTTACCGCACGGCCAAAATTATCTTCATAGACTTTTATAAAAAAAAAACTGTTTGTAAGATGATAACATTTTTAATAAAACGCTCTACACACAACCTTTCAATCTTAGAACTCTTTTTTCTTCACACCACTTTATAAT